TGTGTGTGTGTGTGTGTGTGTGTGTGTGTGTGTGTGTGTGTGTGTGAGAGAGAAAGGAGAGAATGTTCTGGAATCTTGCATGGTTCCTGTAGTTTGTGATTGGCTGTTCATCCTCAGCTGGCGGTTGGTTTTATCCGCTGTCATCACACACGATGCTCTGATTTGATCTTATTTCCGCTGATTACTGTCATTGATGAGGTTTTATCTGAATTCGGCAGCCATATAATTCTGTACGTTTGTCTCTCTTCCTCCCTCTGACAGGAGATTAATGCTGTGTAATAATGATTTTATACAAATAAAAGCTATTTTCTCTATCGGCACTGTGTTTTACTTTCAAAATAAAAACCAACACAAATTCACCATGAAAATACAGCCAGTATGAAATAGTGTTGTCAAAAGACCCGGTACTTCGGTACCAAGTCGGTACTAAAAAAAATTAAAACTTTACGGTACCAGGTTTTTTTAAGTACCGGTGGTACCAAGTACCTGGTCAACCCGGTTCTTCAACCCGAAAGGTGCGCAGATGCGCTCTCTTCATAAAAGCACTGAGACGTGGGGACATCAAAACGAGGAAACGCACCAAACTAACAAAACACTTCAAAGACAGACACCCGGATCAAATGAAAGAGGGCCGCCACAATATCAGAACTGACCGCCACAAATAGATTTTCCAAAAGGCTTTGACTTCGTTGAATAAACATGAGCACTGCATGTGTTAAAGTCTAAACCCGGTGCGGGTGTTTTTATATCACTGTATTATATACAGTATATATGCTGTATTTCTGAAGGAAACCGGCTGTCTTCAGAAAATTATGGATGTCATTTTCATTTCATCTTGCCTGTAATGCCTGAGCAGCGTTTGTGAGCGCAGCGCTTATTTGATTACAGCCATTACCGGGGAAACCGCTATCTCTGCCGCTCTACAAGCCAGTCAACCCGGTTCTTGATGCGCTATCCGAAAGGTGCGCAGATGCGCTCTCTTCATAAAAGCACTGAGACGTGGGGACATCAAAACGAGGAAACGCACCAAACTAACAAAACACTTCAAAGACAGACACCCGGATCAAATGAAAGAGGGCCGCCACAATATCAGAACTGACCGCCACAAATAGATTTTCCAAAAGGCTTTGACTTCGTTGAATAAACATGAGCACTGCATGTGTTAAAGTCTAAACCCGGTGCGGGTGTTTTTATATCACTGTATTATATACAGTATATATGCTGTATTTCTGAAGGAAACCGGCTGTCTTCAGAAAATTATGGATGTCATTTTCATTTCATCTTGCCTGTAATGCCTGATCAGCGTTTGTGAGCTGAGTGCTGCTTTGTGTACAGCGTTACTGGGGAAACCTCTATCTCTCCCGCTTTACAAGAG